CCCCAAAAAAGAGAGAGCTAATAACAGAAGATTTGAGAAGAATGACCGAAGATTCCTCTCCTTTAAAGGATCTTCTATTCCACTCCCTCCACAGACACCACCAAAGACTCGGGGGCACCATCCTCCAAAACCCTTGAGCCTGTGCTCCCGCCCAACCCCCTCTCCAGGCGTCCATCAGACCTCTTGTAGATCTAGGCATGACCCAGTAAACTCCAAAGAGGCCTAACAAGAGATTCCAACAGTCAACCGCTACTGGACAATGCAAAAGAAGATGGTCAACCGACTCTCCATTACACTTACACATGCAACACTAGTTGATCGTGATATGCTTTGTCCTTCTCAAATTATCGAGCGTCAATATTTTACTCCACATGAAAAAAAATAAATGAAATTTCAATTACTAAAAAATAAATAAAAATAAATAAGAATAAGGAAAAATAAATAACAAATAAAATCACAATAAAAAAGTAGTTCTTGCTGGGAGAGTAGCATCGGAGACATCTTTATCTGAGGAGGCAGTTGGAGGAGGCTTCGTTGGCTGCTCATCCTCAGAATCCAAAAATAAAAAGCTACATAAATAATTTGTTTCCATTCTGCTCTATTTAAGGCCATAGTCTCAATCAATCCACTTGCTATCATATATTTTTTTACTAACTCTACTGATGTTAGTTTTGGTCCTCTTCTTCCCCTAGTACTACTGTCAATGTGGACTATGTTACTTTTCCTAAAGCACACTTGAAGGTCTTCTTTGCACATGTCCAAACCATCTTAATCAACATTTTATCTCTGATTGGTGCCTGCACTAATCATGTCCCGATTGTGATAATTTATAATACTATCCTTTTGAATCTTATTGCACATCCATCTCAACATTCGCAATTCTGCCACACTCACTTTGTGCAAATGTTGTTTCCCAGCTACCCAACATTCGTTTCAATAAAGTATGGTTGGTCTAATAGCTGTTCTTTAGAATTCTCCTTTCAATGCTTTAATTGTTTGTATCTTCATATATATGCAAGTCTGTTAGGGTTTGTATCTTACTTTAAATATATGCAAGTCTGTTAGGGATTTAATTATTTGTTCTTACCTTAAATTGGTTCCGTGAGAAACACTAAATTTTACTTCCCTAATATCTCTTGCTTTTTAATAGAGCCTTATGGTTGGGAACTTGGGACATCTTTTGGATTTTGTGGATAGCTTAAAGCTATAGTTGTCGCCTTTGGTGTCTTGTGTATTCTTTTGGGAGCACTCCCCTCTTGAGCGCCTTTAATGAAATCTTATTTGTCAAAAAATTAAAAAAAATAAAAAAGGCTTAAGGATGCATTGATTAATAAAAATACTAAGTTGTTTAACCTGGGATTCTGTTGGCTTCCACTTCCAAGACTAATTAAAGTGGAGTACCTTTTAAGAGGTTTTCCTTAGCCTGTATGTATAATTAAACTTCTCTAGAACATTTATTAGTTTAATCTAGTTGTTGTTTTTGTACCAGAAAGAGGACCATAAAATAAAAATACCAAGTATGCACCTTCACTAGTTTCCATGCACCACTTGTTCCTTTTCAAATTTTTTTCCTTTCCAATTTATTGTTATAGATTGAGTTTAAATTGGATTCATCCATGAAAGTCCATGAACTTGTAAACAATCCGTTAATAATTTGCACTTCTTTTTCCCTTTCTTGTTGCTGCGATAACAAATAAGGCTGTAATAATACCCTTTTATGTTAGTATCTTGGTTATCAACACAGGCCTCAAACATAGCATGTTACTTTTTGTGAACAATGTAGTAAATTTACAGTCAACACAATTTATTTTTGATTTTTTGCAAGCATGGAGCTTTTGAATTCTATTTTTCCATATTTGTGTATTGTAAAAGTCATAGCTTTTGGAACTATGCTTGTTCGCTGTTTTTTGGATAATTTGTCACGAGAATCCTCAAAGACAAAGTTGTCACAGACTCGCAGATTTTGGGGTCTAGCTGGTTTGATAATGCCTTGTCCTTGGTCAGCTTCATGTGGTTTCTAGAGGGTATGCAACAGAAGAGTATTATAATGAATATCCTCATTTTTTTTTTCCCTCTTCGTTTGGGTGAGAGTTGGGGATGTCGTAACTCTCTCATTCATGTTTAGCAATTTAAGAGGTTTTATGGTGGTAGAGACTCTACTCTACCAATTAGTTGAAGATTTCCCATTTTTTTCTTGACAATACCATTGTTTTTTGTGAGGCGGTACTTGAGGTGTGTGTTGGTTTGCTTCCAATCAGTTTTGGGCTTAAGGATCAATCTTGGAATGATTGAATAGTGCTAGTGGGTGAAGTGGGTGGGTTTACTTTGCTGATATTTTGGGATGTGGTGTTGGTGCCTTCTTGGTAACTTACTAGGGATTACCTCTTGGAGCTTCTTCAAGGATTGCGGCTTCTTCAGACCTAATTGTGGAGAGGTTTGAGAGGAGGCTTGCAGATGGAAGAAGTAGTGTCTTTAGAATGGGCCTCTTAACTCTTAGTAAGAGCACTCTTTTGAGTCTTCTGACTTGTTTTCTCTCTCTTTTTCAGATTCTCTTCTTTGTTGTGAAGGGGATTGAGAAGCTCTGAAGAATTTTTTTGTGGCAGTATGGGGGAAGAGGTGAAGTTTCACTTGGTGAATTGGGAGAAGGTGTGTAGCCCTTTCCAATTTGGGATTTGGGTGTTAGGAAGATTGATTTGTTTAATAAAGCTTTGTTGGGGAAATGACTTTGGTGTTTTGGAGTGGAGAGGGATAGTTTACGGAGGAGGTTATCAACTGTAAGGTGGGTTAGGGTAGGGGAGGATGGATTTCTAAGGAGGTGAGTTCTTAGTCGGGTTGGAGTTGAAAAATTCATTCAGAAGTGTTGCGAGATTGGGAATTGGAGGAGATTGTAGAGATTTTGGCTCTACTATATTTCCATAATCTGGAAGGGGAGGGGTGTGATGAGTGGTATTTAGTGAGTTTCAGTCATGGGGTATTTGAGGTGAGATCTTTTTATCGGAAACTTTTGGAACCTCAGGGCCCTTTTTCCCCTTGGAAGGCTATTTGACGTACTAAAGCTCCTCTTAGGGTGGCCTTTTTCACAGCTTTGGGGAGGATATTGACAATTGCCAACCTGAGGTAGAGGCGCGTTGTATTTGTGAACTTGGTGTTGTATGTGCAAGTGGGATGAGGAGTCTGTTTTGGTCCATTTTCTTTTCTATTTTTGGTACTCATTCAGTTTCGCCGGATTCCACAAGGGGCATGCTCAAGGCTTGGAAATGTTGTATAGTGAGCAGTCAAGTCTGAGATGCTTGGGGGGATACTCCTCTTTGTTTTTGGTGGGGTTTTTGGCAGGACAGGAATAGCCTTATAGGAGATCCTTTGATGGGGAGAAAGCTCCTAAACAATCAATCTAGTGTTCCCTATTTTTTTTGGGGTCAGAGGATGGCATTGTAAATCTAGACTTTATAGATTTTGTGGATAGTTTGAGAGTAAATATTTTTGGCTTTTTGTGCAGTTGTGTTTGTGCTCCTCAACTTTTAAGCGCTCTGTAATGAAATCTTACTTGTTGATTTCTTTTTCCACATATATTTATACCTCAAACAAAATTACCAAAAGGATCAAGTATTTAATACATTTTATTTCCAAGAGTACCCTTTTAAATCGAAGAGGAGTTTTCCTAATCCGTGGCCTGTTTTTCAAATTTCAATGCACTTTTAATTTTACACTGTTATTTTTGTTTTTTTGTTGCGACTTTCTGCAAATTTCATACTTCTCTGTAGTCTAGGGTTCTTAAATACACAAAGTGAACTTATTTAAATATTTAAAACCACTCAGACTTCTCTTCTCCCTCATGAAAGAGATGTTACTTTCAATTGCTTAATTGCCGTGTGATGTTCACCAATTTAGGCATCAATCCTGCTATGTTAAGACGAGCATGGCACCAAAAGCTTCAACCCTCTGTTGTATTAAATAATATGACACAGGGTTTTCTGTTGTACTCTGTTAAGACGAGCGTGGCACAGAAAGCATCAACCCTCTGTCATATTAAATAATGTGACAAAGGGTTTTCTGTGGTACTCTGTTAAGACGAGCGTGGCACAAAAGCATCTCTTTTTCGTTTTCGTGTTCTACTATTCGTAGTAGATTGTTAATAAACTGCATCAGATAAATATATTAATTAGCATTTATTTAATATTTTTTAGTTAATCAATTGATTGCTTTCAGATTAATGTAAACTTTCTTAAAGATTTAAGTTGCTTTTGATTTTTTGTTCATTCCTAGAGCAGAATGGTCAAAGATTAGTAATGTAGGTGACCTAAAGAGTTGAGAAAGAACTTCATTGAGTTGAGTTGATTTAACTTTGAATCTTATGCTAAATAGTTATGTTTAGTCCCAGTAGGTTAGTACATGAGATCATTTAGATGCTTATAAATTTGCTACCCCAAGGTATGTATATATGCTTGCTGTTTTCAGTTAAACTCATCAATTGAGAACTAGTCATAACTTTCATGTGCAAAACATTTGAATTATACAAATTTATTAAAGAAGAAAAAGAAAAAAAAATATCAAGGTACCTTGCGTTATTAACGAACTTTGTGGCCATTGTACCTGTTCTAGAAGATATCTAGGTTGTTAGAAACATTTCTTATTATAGGTTTCCTAACTATGCTCTAGGTGAATTTGAAGGAAGCATTAAAATGAGTATTATTTGTATACCTGGGGCAAATTCTCTCTCACTTATGTTTTCTCAATATTAGTGACTGGTGGAGACGATATTCTTTTAGATGCTTTTAGTTTCCATAAATAATCTTTATCCATTAAATATATGCTGGTGAATGATATGTTGGTCTTAAAATTTGCTGGTAATCTACATTGATCTCTCTCTCTGTCTCTCTCTCGTAAAGAAGGGATTGGGAAGTGGGTGTTCGTATTTATTATTAGCTAATAGATGTTTGGGTTTGATATTTGAGGACGTTGCTTCAAGTGATAGATTGTTAAAAAAACCTTTTTCTTTACAGGGATGCCATTTGGTCATACATCTGTTTCAACCAAACAAAGTTTTGTTGCAAAAGGTATGATGATTTAATACTTGTTTTTTGTGTCATGATTTAAATGGTACACCTAAAGTATTTAACATTTGTTTTTTTGTGTCACGAGTTAAATGGTGCACCTAAAACAACAATAACAAGAAGAATTACATATTTACTTGTAATATTGGACAATTACGAGTGCACCGTGTGACGATAGATTCAAGGATCATGACAATTTTATATTCTAGAAATCTAAGTATACCACTTTTATTAGATGTTATAGAAGAACAGCGACACAACAACCACTTGAGAGGACCGCTCCTTGTAAAAAAAAACGTATTGATTTATAGCCGCGGTAGTGCATGATTCTCCCCTAAAATGATGTAATATGGTCATGATGATACTCATGGGAGGAAGGGAGGGAAGGGGAAGGGAGATTCTAGAAAGAAAAGGTTGGACATTTTGAGGTTTGCTCGTGTTGTTGAGATTGTCGAATGTGGCTTCTCTTATGGGATTTTATGTTGTATAACACATAAGTTGGGGTGTGTCTGCAAGTATTTTTGATGCGTAAGCAAAGTATCCAAAATAATGAAATTTATTTTTAAATTATGTATACAGTGATGATTGAGGGAAAAAAATTATGTTTAAGGTAATGAAGTGTTTGACTCGTGTCCAAGAGTGTTTGTGAGGTGTTGGTGTCCCATGCTTGTTTGTACACCTTCGTAGAAGTGTGTGCGCTTTTGAGCTTTTTTGTAGTACTAATATTGTGTTACTACATGTGGTTGTTATGTGGAGATAGTTTGTGATTTAAGAGCGAAAAATATGCGGTTTTGGAGACATGGTAAGATAGTGTTATGTTTTCGTTCTACTGTCCAATGTCCCGGTGGAGATTTTAGACTATTTTATTTTCTTTTTTCTCTCTTCCAATTTTGTTTTAGGTTTTCTTTATGCTATCCAATGTCTTGGCTGTGATGTTCTTTATTTTCGCTTTTGAATTTGAATTTTCATTTTTTTTACGGGTTTCATTTCGAAATTTTACCAAAAAAGTGGTATCATAGAAGACATTTGACCTAATCTGCGGGTTGCTACTTTTACATTTTCTGGAAAGGATAGTTTTAGCAACTTAATTTTCTGATGATGTATTTTCATAGCTTGTGTCCGCCCCGAATCCCAAAGACCCGGTTCATGAGAAAGAAAAAGAATAAAAGGGAACCCGAACTAATTCACTATCACTATCAATATCATGCAGAAGCGTACGCTCACACGTCATGAAACAAGGACCCATTTGCCATGACAAGAAAGAAATAAAAGAAAGGAAGAAAAGAAAAGTGAAGTTAATCCCTATCATCCTATTAACACAAAACCCATCACCCAGGCCACTTTGACCGGTCCAAGAGGACCAGTCCCCGGAAATGACCACCACTTTACACTGTTGGACTGGTCCAATAATGGTGGACCGGTCCATGATGGGCAATCCAGAATTCCTACATAGAAAATTTTCCATAAATGACCTCCAAATGCCCAGAGTCATGTCTTGACCTAAATGGAACCCAAATGATGCTTCAAATGTGATCAAAGGTGACCTAAAATGAGTTTAAATCATGGCAACCCATAATATATCAAGTCCCTCAAAACGACATAATCTTATATGCATTGAATCCCTTAGAATTCGATTACAATAAACATGCTTATAGATCCAAATTCGAAAATAACATAAGAGCTTAGATGATACAAAAATGGGGCCAAGGGTTGGAAATCCCATGAGAAGGTCAAAAGTGAACCTTTAATGGTTCTCACGCCATTTCTCCCTCCTCGGAACAAGGTAGCGAAAAGGGAAGCCAGTAATACATACATCAAAGTTTCCAAGATAAATGAGCAACATAAGACCAAGTTACTTCAAAATATGTCATAAGTTCTGTCAAAATTGAAGAGAGAAATAGAAAATGAAGCACACAAGGATACACGCACAAAGCCCAAAGGGCTACATCATCTTTATTATATTCTCACTTAAGATTGTTTACAATGAGCACCTTTACTTATTGGTGAAAGAACAAAGCGATAAATATGGAAAATACATTAATGGAGGATTCATCAAATCAATCCAATCATATTTTATCATAGACTAAAACCATTCCCACAATATTCTCAGAGCAATATTATGTGGAGTAATTTAAGGTTCCTATAATAATATTCTCCAACACTCTCCCTCAAGTTGGTACACGGAGATTTTAACTCAAGTGTCCAACTTGAAACTAAGTATGAAGTTGTTGAGAGTCCGAAACGAATTGATTCGAAGATCCGAGACGAGTTGATCCGTAGATTTGAGACGAGTAGAGTATAGAGTATGGTATGATAAACCTGCTTTGATACCATATCAAAATTGAAGAGAGAAATAAAAAATGAAGCAAACAAGGATACACGCACAAAGCCCAAAGGGCTACATCATCTTTATTATATTCTTACTTAAGATTGTTTACAATGAGTACCTCTATTTATAAGTGAAAGAACAAAGCGATAAATATGGAAAATACATTACTGGAGGATTCATAAAATCAATCTCATAAATCACTCCAATCATATTTTATCATAGACTAAAATCACTTTCACAATATTCTCAGAGCAATATTCTGTGGAGTAATTTAAGGTTCCTATAATAATATTCTCCAACAAGTTCAAAACATGCTTCACATCTCTAGATAGATAATGTGTCGCCCGTGGCGTACTCCTTGCGTGTAAAATATTAGGGTGAGCAAACTAGCCCAGTAGATGATGCTCTAACCAAATTAATCAACGATCCTACAAGTCATGTGAGCATAGCATATTTATATGTTGGGTAAGTGGAAGCGCGCAAATAAGAAAGATTCAAAGAAAGCTAACAAAACAATCACATACAAACACAAGATATACATGGTTCAACCAATACTGGCCTACGCATGGATGAGAAAAGATTCCACTATGATTTGTAGAGATATTACAACAATAGAGTACCAACACCACCACTTCACGAGCCTATTTCCTCGCTACCAGCATTACCGGTGTTTTTCCTACTCTACCAACCTGCATACTACCTCTACCCATCAACTCCCTCATAAGACTACATCTCTCTCAATCTCATAAGTCTCAACCCAAAGTCTATGTATCTATTTATAGAGTTTCAATCCCAATTCCTTGTTGGACAAGGATTACAATTTTTTAGAGGCCAAAACTTGCAAAACAAGAAATTACCAAACATAATACAATTCTAATATAGAAACACAATTAGAATAGGAATTTGAGACACAAATTCCAACAATCTCCACCTTAGCTCAAAATCCATCCAACCAATTATCGCTTCCACGACATTGATGAGTACAATTCTTTTGCAGCTTCAATCTTGACGATTCTCCTGCAAAACTCTGATTGTCCACACTCTACGCTAGTCGATCAGTCAAACCTCCAAGGCTCTACATTGACTACTCGAGTTCCATTCCATGTAACCAAGCCGATTGACTCCAACAACTGAAGCCCATTGCAATACATGTTGAGACTTTTTGTGTTTTCTGGATCTCCTTCACCTTTGGCTCTGATACCAATTTTTTGGGTCAGTGGAAGCGCGCAAATAAGAAAGATTAAAAGAAAGCCACCAAAGCAATCACACACAAACACAAGATATACATGGTTCAGCCAAAATTGGCCTATGTCCATGGATGAGAAGAGATTCCACTATGATTCGTAGAGATATTACAACAATAGAGTACCAACACCAACACTCCACGAGCCTATTTCCTCGCTACCAGTGTCACCGGTGTTTTTCCTACTTTACCAACTTGTATATTACCTCTATCCTTCAACTCCTTCGTGAGACCACGTCTCTCTCAATCTCATAAGTCTCAACCCAAAGCCTATGTATCTATTTATAGAGTTCCAAACCCAATTCCTTGTTGGACTAAGGATTACAATTTCTTAGAGGCTAAGACTTGCCAAGCAAGAAATTACCAAATAGATCCTGGATTCAACCCTCGGTGCCAGTGAGTTTGTGGATTCTAGGTTGAGTAGTTGTATTCCAGTAGTTTTTTTTTTTTCCATCATAAATGGGCTTGTTGTATCAAAGAAAGAAAAAAAGAAATATAGATGCACAGAGGACATACCCTCAGAGGAACACAAGAACCAAAGTAAAAAGGCTTATGAAAAAGGCCATTTCCAATACAAATAGAAATGCAAAAGAAATTTACCCAACAAGATCTTGTAATCTAGCATTCTGGACTACAAGCACCTCTAACAGTAATTGCCTTGCCGCTATAGTAGGAGGATTGCAAGAATTCCTATGTAACCTGGCATTCCTTTCCCTCCAAATAGCCCATAAAGCAGCAGCAAACAAACTTCTCAACGCCTTTGAATTATGATACTTTTGGTCACACCAGAGAAATACATCCCAGACTGTAGTGACACCAGCAAAGAGCACCATATTCCAGTGCAAAACATCTCCAATCTAATTCCAAAAGCTTTGAGCAAAAGTACAAGTGAGGAAAAAGAAAAGGTGGTCTGTAGTGTCGAAATCGTGTTGACAAAGAGAGCATCTAGGTGCCAGTTTGATCATTCTCTTCTGCAAATTAACCATGGAGGGGATCTTGTTCTGCATGACAAGCACAGCAGTAATGGACCACCTAGGCCTTGCCTTGCCCTAAACCGGATGGTACCATTGCACTTCTTCATAAACAACCCTACAACATTGGCATGTCCTCTTAAAAGAAAATAATCCACCATCCCACAGAATCTTATCAGGAGTAGGATAAATTTGGATTGTTGAAACACATACTCGCAAAGGTTGGAAAATACCATCCTGCAACAGAGATAAATTGCACACTCCATTCTGCATTACACAGTGTAGCAAAGAGTCTCTCTATAAAGGCAGTCTTCTAGCTAGTCTATGGCCAAACTTTTGAGCAACTGTTAGCCCCTCACACCAAGGGTCATGATATAATCTAATGATCTGACCACTGCCAATGTGGAAAGACACATGTTGCAGCAATAAGTCTCGGACCTCCACAATAGGCTTCCAGATAACAGAATTAGAAGCTTTAGGAATCACATTCCAAAATGTTGAATTAGAGCATATTTTTGTTTGCACCATGACACCCAGAGTTTGCCCTTACTCACCAGAAAATCCCATGCAAGAACCAATCTGGACACACTTTGAAGATCAACCAACTTTCTGAGACCAAAGCCCCCTTCTTGTTTTGTTGCTGTGACCATGTCCCAGTTCAACAAGTGCATTTTGTTAACATAGTCCTTACTACCCCAGAGAAAATCCCTACACAGCTTTTGGATTTGATTAGTCACAACCATAGGGAAAGTATATATACTACACCAATATAGGAATATGGGATTTGATTACTCTCTCATTGCTAGTGTTTGCAACATATACGGGAGAACAAAAGAACACATCACCAGTTTGAGTTGCACACACCTTTAACAACATGCATTGAACTTGTTTATCAATGACTTAAACTGAGAACATTGTAGGGTTCCATCCAACCCATATTCCACCCAAATTATGAGAATCATAATTGTGAAGCCAACACCAGTTATTCATAGTTCTCCTAGAGATAGCTTCAAAAGAACATTTGTTTACTCTTGTTTCAACTTTCAAGTAAACAACCTGAGAGGAATTTGAAATAAGCCAATTTCTAACCTCTCTCTGTCTTCTAGGCTTATTCAAGCCTCTCACATTGTAAGAACTAATTATTGAGAAGGGGGTAATGGGGGCAAAAGCCCAGAGTGGCTTCTAGTCTTCCCATATGTAACTGCCACATTCTTAATTTTTGACTTCTTAACTGATTGAATGGGGATAACCCTAGAAGCCTGAGGATGAGCCATTTGTTTTCTAAAATCATCACCTTTACTATTCATCTCAGATCCCTCTACATAAGTACCCTTTGGTGTGGTACTAGAAAGAGTTACACCTAACATCTTGGATTCTAATAAGGCAGCCGCACCAGCATTAAAGCCCTCTTACAAAGTAGTATTACAAAAGGGCACCAAGGCTAAGGAAGCATCCTGATCAGTAATATTTGAAGGATCCAGAGCATCCTCTACCATATTCTGGACAACAACATCCTCCTTAGAAGAAGACATTCCCCCATACTCAGAAGCCATAGCTACCTCAAGATCAACAATAGCTCCTGTATCACTATCAAGAACTGTAAAAGCATTGGTAACTTGCACTTGCTCATCTCTGGTATGCACTGTGGGTGAGAGTTTCTCAAGCATAACAATAGGCATCTCACCTGCATCCACTAGCTTTCCCTTCTGCTTGACTACCCATTGTACTAGCGTCTTCTTGGGCTTAGCTTGAAGAACCTTATTGGTACAATTATCTTGAAGATGATCAACTTTGTTACAGAAAGCACACCATTGAGGTTTCCATTCATATTCAAATTCAATGGTCTCATCACATCCATGAAAGTCCACCACCATAGAATCTGGCAAGACATCTTTAACATCCATTTCCGTCATAACCCTAGCATAATCTCCCTTATCACGATGCAGAGATGGATCATCCATATATATGGGTTTTGAGAAAGAACACACCTTAGAGACAGCCGTAGCATTACAATAATGCACTGATAAGTTATGTACCGGAATCCATATCGGAACTGATTTAAGCACTTCCTTCGTGAGATTAACATTCTTGCACCCTTTTTTGATGATGATTGGATGACCTTAGAAAGTGTGAATCCGTGACAAAACAGTCTGCACTTTCTCTACAGAATTGAACCTAACATGAAGAAACCCTCCGTCAAATATATAACTGTAACCTGCTTAGCTCACCTCCGTTCAACATAGGCCTTGAAACGGTGGTAGTAGGATCTCTCTTACCCATGATATATCCCACCACAGAATGACTCCAGTAATCGATCTCATCCTGTACATCAGCAATAGAAATTGAAACTTTATTACCCCGCACGCTTTCATGGTATTGAAGGTTCATGAAAGGCTTTGACTCCGAAGCAATAAAGAAATTGATCCAAGAGGGACAGACTGGGGAAGAAGACCGGCTTAGAGAGACCGCCAGCGGTTGAGGGGAGGAGGACTGGCGCCCCTCCATGCTGTCCACTCCCTTTCATGTAACCAGAAAATTCGAAAGCCTAATTCATTCTGGCTAGAGAGAGCTTGATATTGAGAAAACTTACGATCATGTTTGTTGGAGTTTTCTGCTTTATATGTTGGAGAGGTTGGGCTTTGGGGAGAGATGGAGGGGGTGGATTGATTTCTGCATTTCGTCGGTGAGATTCTCGGTGCTAGTGAATGTTGCTCCATTTGGCTTCTTTGGCAGGTCTTGGGGTTTGAGACAGGGGGATCCTCTTTCTCCTTTTTTGTTTATCATTGTTATGGAGGCTCTTAGTAGATTGATGCAGAGGGCTGTGGATTTGGGATTCATTAGGTGCTTCAGGATGGGCAGAGACTCGGATCATCATATTGAGATTTCCCATTTGTTATTTGTGGATAATATTTTGGTCTTTTGTGATGCAGATGTGTTCGAGATGAGATATTTGAGATGTGTTTTGGTTTGCTTTCACGCTGTATCGGGTCTAAAAGCGAATTGGGGGAGGTGCATAACATTGCCGAGCTTGCAACGGTGCTTCGGTGTGGATCTCCTCTTTCCGTATTTCTTATTTGGGATAGCCTTTGGGTTCTCTGTCGAGAAGGGTGGGGGGTTAGACTTTACGGTTGGGAGGTTTGAGAAAAGTCAAAGTCTTTCTTGTTTTACTAAGCTTTTGAAGTACCAAGTATACTTATGAAAGTGGTAAAGTCCTATTAATGTTGTGTGGGAATTCTAAGTGTCATTCTAGGACAAGTCAAGTGTCATTAATAGTAGTATTATAAAAGGGATAGCCCTCTATATCTGCTGTAACCAAGTCATAATCAGTATATTTTGAGTTATTATCAGTTTGTAAACAGTTTCTTCAGGCTTTTTCCAGATTTCACTTTAGAAATCTAGGCTCCGATGGTGATTGGAGTATTTCTAGTCTTCTTTACTACAGTAAGAAGATTTGTTTTATTTTCTGTTTGCTTCAAGAGAGCAGAATCATGATCACCTGGAAGAAAACCCAAAGCACAGATTATTGTAGAGAACTTCTCAAACCAAGCCTTAGGAGCTTGTTTGAGACCATAAAATGCCTTCTAAGTTGGTAAACTTGTCCACGACTGTGAGAAAGACCAGGAGGAGGTGTCATATAAACTTCTTTGGTCACGTCCCCATTCAGAAAGGCATTTTTAACATCAAGCTGTGATAGATCCCACTGGTGAACAGCTGCAACCTGGACACCGTCAAGTCAAATCTCTCAGCAAAAATCAAGACCAAAACTGAAGGGAAAAGAAAAGGGGAAGGAAAAAAAAAAAAAGAACCCGGTCTCTACAACTTGAAATTCTGTGTGTGTGTTTGTGGAGCAACACCCTGTCTTGTCTCTAGTTTTGCTTGAAGTTTATTTAATTATATGACTGAGTGAGTCATTAGATTTTCATTTTTGCTCTAACAATCATGTAGAATGATCCACAGTGTGGAGATCTAAGGTGCCGCTCAAAGTGGCGTTCTTTACTTGTACAGTGGTGTCGGGCAAGATCTTGACGCTTGACAATTTGAGGAGGCAAAGATAAATCACAGTTAACTGGTGCTGTATGTGTAAGTGCAATGGGGAATTAGTGGATCATCTTCTTTTGCATTGTCCAGTGGCTTTGGACTGTTGGTGTCTTTTGCTAGGAATGTTTGGGGTTTCGTGGGTAATGCCTCGATCTGCGAGAGGATTGATGGAGGCTTGGAGAGGGTGCTATGTGGGAGGTCATGCTCGTGGGTTTTGGAGGATGGCACCCTTGTGTTTTTGGTGGTGTTTGTGGAGGGAGCGGAATAGTAGATCCTTTGAAGGAAAGGAATCCTTGAGTGTTGTTCTTAAGTCAGCTTTTATTACATCTTTATGTTTTTGGGGTTCGTGTCGGCTTTGTTCCTCCCCGGAGGAGATGATTGATTTTATTTCTTCTTTGGGACCATAGGATCCCTTTGTTGTTTATGGGACACATTCCCCTTTTGAACGTTTTTTGAATGAATTTGCTTAATTATCAAAAAAAGAAAGAAAGAAAGAAAGAATGATGCACATGACATTCATCTCTCTCTTCTAGGGAGTCTTCACAATTGAAGACAAATCAGAGTATTATACCTTTTATTATGAGCAAATGGAGACATGCTGAGATCTATTTCTAGTTTCTGAACAATATATTGAGCTCATAGTTGCTTCTTGGACATCCATGAAGGTTAAATTCAATCATATATTGCATAATCATTGTTTACCTCTAGCTCTATTGAGGTTCATATTTGATGTAAAATATTTGGCTATCATATTTGTCTTGCAGCATCTTCCCATGTTCTCTCGTGTTTTTAGTGACTCCAATAAACTACTCTATATTGTAGCTGTCATATTCTCCTTTTTTTCTTTTACTTTTTCTGATTGGGCCTTTTTTTTTTTTTCCTTTTTCATTTTGTGTGTGGGTTGAAGGTTGGAGTCAATTCTGCATGTTTATAGTTCCAAAGTTGTATTATGAATTTACACAATTTTTATTTTTATTTTTATTTATTTATTTATTTTCTCATTTAATAGTATTAGAGGCACAAATTTAAAGGTTCAGTTAATCTTATAAGTTGTGAGTTGTGACTGTTACAGTTAAATGCCTAAAACTTATGCAGGCATGACTTTTCGTCACACTCTCTACCCATTATACAAGAGCAATCGTCCTCCTACACCTGATACTGTAGTTCAGGGGCTTCAATACTTGAAAGCATCAATCAAGGCTATGTCCATTAAAGTTATTGAGGTAAGTAGCTGCACAGAGCTGAATTACGATCCATTGTGGTTGTAGTGGTGACAATTCGTTCATCCACCTTAAAGCAGGTGCCTGGTGTTGAAGCTGATGATGTCATCGGGACATTGGCTGTAAGGAGTGTTAATGCTGGATTTAAGGTACTTCCCTTATGCTGTATTTGTCAAACACTGAATTTTATCCTTTACAATGAACAAAATTTCCAAAGCCTTTGTTTTGGAGGGAAATTGATATTTGTTGGCAAAACTTCTCTTTATTGCCTTGGCGGTTGGAAACAACTTCATTTTGTGTGGATAACCAAGCCCATGCTCCCTGCATCCCCCAGCAGTCTTTTGATTAAATTACTTGGTACTAAAGTAAATTAGAGCTTGTTGTTACATTTTTTGGTCCATTTCTTAACCATTTAAGCTTGCAAGGCAAAGTGAGGACTAACATAAAACATTGATTCTGGGATGTTATCAGTTCAAGTTTCCCGTTTTAATTTGTTCCCCATTTGGTCTGTTTGTTTCACTGTGTTTTATTTCTCTCTCTAACTTTCTACATGCTAGAGGAGATTCTGGGAGTTCACCTGTTCGTGTTTCAATTTTCATTTCCCCCATTTGGTATGTTTGTTGATTCCATACTGTATCTCTCTCTGACTCACCACTTCCGGGAGGGGATAGAGGGTGAGAGTTTGATATACATTGTTTAGCCCATTCGAAACAGCATATGGTTTTGGGTCAAGTGGGGTCTAATCGTATTGACAGGCAAAAAAAAGCATCTATTATTGTGAAATGATAATAGAATCTTTTGTTTCTGTTTCTCTTATTCTTGCTGACTTGGTTTCTTCTTCTTAATTGTTGGAAAAAAATAAGAGCTAGAAAGTAGAAGAGAAGAATTGTTGTATTTTGCATAGTGTGAGTACATGTAGAATTCTTGTATTTCAGAATATGGAAAGTTTCTAAAAAACATTAATTCCATTGCATCACAATACCAAGAAAATAATGAAGGTTGCCTAAGTCTTTAGTAAGAATGTTCGAACCAAGATGACCAATTAGAGTCTGAATGCCCTTACTGTCACTTCCAGTAATCACAATGTCATCCATATGGACAACCAAGATCACAATACCGTGCTATGTTTTCTTAAAGAACACTGAGTGATCAATCTGACTTCTAGTCATTCCATGAGTAACCACAACTTTGCCGAATTTGTCAAACCATGCTCGAGGAGACTGAGTACATAAATAGATTTCTGGAGATGACAAACACACTCCCCCTTGGACTCAAACCCATGGGGTTGAGCCATGTACGCTGTCTCACTTTAATCTCCATGCAAGAAGGCATTCTTAACATCAAGCTGATGAAGGGGCCAATCAAGATTTGCAGCAAGAGAGATAATAATACAAACTGAGTTTAGCTTGGCCACAGGAGAAAAACTTTCAGTGTAATCAAGACCATAGGTTTGAGTGAAGCCCTTGGCAACAAGACGAGCCTTTAATCTGTCAACAGTACTATCTTGGTACCATAGCTCTGATACCATGTTAACAACCATCTACTACCAAAGCTTAAGCCGTTGGAGAGGGTGCAACTTTAATATTTATATCCTTCCAACACACCCCCTCACGTATGGGTGTTTTTTTGGTCCAACATGTGTTTTTCAATTTTTAATTAGGGTGACAGTGAGGTTTGAGCTCAAGACTTTTGGCTCTGATACCATGTTGCAAGAAAATAAGAGCTAGAAAGTATAAGAGAAGAATTCTTGTATTTTGCATAGTGTGGGTACATGTGGGTTTATATAGGAACCCAAGGCAGATAATTAGTACACTCATTTAGCCAATTACCAGATTAGCAGCATCAAATATTAATTTCTATAATCAAGCTAGCAGCCAGGGAAAAAAAAAATCAAGCTAGCAGCATCAGAATATTCCTATAATCAAGCTAGCAGATTATATGGATCAGAATAGTCAACTCTGTCAACTAATGACAGGCTGTAAACAACCTATATTCACGACATTAATGTTCCTTTATATTTGTTAATCTTTAAAGGAGTATTGCTAATAAAGGTGTTCATGTGAGGATGTCAAAATGGGAGGGAGTTACTATCAGGGATGCTAGATTGTAGATGCCACAATCCCAAAAATTCTAGATGCCATCTAATGATGGTTGTGCAATCTTTTGTTGGTTAAGTAAATGGTAGGAATATACAGTGCAATATATATCTGGGTTGATGTCATTATTGTTAGAGAGTTGTATTTTATGCATATGTGCTTTTCTATTTTTGATAGGGGTAACTTTGTCTTTTTCTCTTCTAGTTAGGGTTATTTCTTTATTATCACATCTTGTTTGGAATTTCATCAATTCTGTAATGAAATACACGAAGACTTGTTGTTCTCCTTCTTCAATATACCGATCTACAGTGAACTTATATGGTATCATAGTGCAGGATTAATCCATTAATCAAGTGCACATTCCAGTGTAATTAGCATCACAGTCTTCATCGCACAGCACCATGATCAATTTCGTTGCAGCATCACTGGTTTCATCGCATCACATCAACTCCGTTTCATCCCAATTCCTTTGCATTGACTGTCTCAGTGGTTTGCATCTCTCACCTACTTTGATACAACTCGTATAATCTGGGCATCGACATAACACCTACCAGCAATCAATTGCAAACCCTAATCGAAGATAAATTTGTAATCGCGACTTTGCAATCGTATCATCCAATCACAATTTCATCACACAGGTTGTGACTTGGCACACAGTTTGTAAGTCATTGCATCCAATCGCAAACTCATTACACAGTTCGTGACTCATCTTCTTTCTCACAGTTTTCTACTCTCTTCGTTCATATTTTATCACAGCTTCAGTTTCATTCGACCTCGGCTTTGTGAAATTGACGACTTCAGTTTTGGCTTTATCTTCATCAATCGCAAACTTTGCATCATCATCAGACTCAATTTTGAATCTTCTTCTAGAGTGAGTATTCTTTTTCAGTTGACGATTGTGAGAAGTCGCAATACTGTTGCAGTAAATTCTCTTCTCATTGCATCACCAAATAGCATAACCCAGTTTGTTCTCGACTTCTCGGTTTCTGTTTGAATAAACTTTTGTTCCTTGTTTTCTCTACTTTCTGTTCAATCTTTTCATGTTTTTTGATTTTTATCTCAGTAGTACTTATGGTTTGTTTTATTTTTCTTCATGTTGTACTGTATAAATAATTGTCATAATCTTGTGTATCTATTTTTTTGTTTCATAAGTAAATGTGGATTGAAACGAAAAAAGCCTTCAAAAGGGGAACGCGTCCCATATACAAAAACAGAACCGAAACCTAAGGACCCACAAGGTCCAAAAAATCTATGAAATCATCATTAGAAGAACAATAACTTCCCTTCACCCAACTTAAAATGGAACGAAGAATAAAAAGTTTTAGAGTCGCCGTGGACGATTCCTTTCCTTCAAATAGTCTGTTCCGCTCTCTCCAAGTGCACCACCACACAATACGGGACTGTTTGTGTATCTTTGTTATATGACATTCAATGTAATGAGCTGCAACATTTATGATCTCTCTTTGCTATTTATTAAGATGGCTACATAAGTCGGGAAAATGATGCAGTTTCTGATATAATGAACTGAATGGTTTAATATAAACGTTTGCCCAGCACTGTATCGTGTGTGCATGTTTTCTGTTCTCTTTGTTTTTTTGGAAGCACTTTCTTGTGTATTGTATTCTACTTAATTGTGACTTCAGCATGTACCTTCTTTATCACAGGTACGAGTTGTCTCCCCAGACAAAGATTTTTTTCAGATTCTATCGCCTTCATTACGTCTTCTGCGAATTGCTCCACGTGGATTTGAGTTAGTATCACCTTAAATCTACAAATTTAAACAATTATGTACCTCTAGTGATTGTCTAATGCACCTACCACTCCTGCAATAACCACTGTTAACCGTATAAAATTTTCAATGTCTGGCTTCGATTTTACCTCATTGGTGAAGGCATGAGCATTATGCTTCTCTTTTCCTTTAAACCAGTACCATTTGAATTATTACAAGACAAATTGATCTTTTCCGACCTTGTAGATAAGGTTGTATTAATATGAGGGGCTATAGTCACTTTGTTACCCATCGGGCAAAAATAAATAAATATAATAACAAAATTGCTGAGGGCTTCCCTGGGGCCTTAGGGTACCCAGGTTTTTGTGGTCTTGTAGGGACACGTTCCCCTTTTCAACACTTTTAATGAATTGCTTATTTATCAAAAAAAAAAAAAATGGCATCAGTAACTTACTTTAGATATTTGCATTCTGCTGAACTATGTTGAGATGAACTTAATCTGACCTTGTTTCTTGCTTCTTGCTTCCTGAAAGTTAATTCTCTTGGGTACACGTGCTTGAATCAGATGTTTGTTTTGTCATATAGATGTGCAGATGCAATTGCATGTTACATTATACACACCCGTGCATGCATATACACACACACATAGATATATGCAGATCTGATGCTATATTAGGTTCCATGGACTATGCCAGAAAAAGTAAATAATAGAAAACAAGAAGCATATATAGTGAAAAGTGGTGCAATGTTACAGTTCAGCACACAATTTTAGTTAGAATATTATTAGTTTAGAAAACTTTATAGTATTTAAAATTTATAGAAACTTCATGTATGGGAGGTTCCTGTCAATTGCCCAGTATTATTTCTTGTTTTGAAGGCTGTGATAAGTATATTATCATTGGCAGGAACGTGTTTAGCTATGAGTCAAATCATAGCGCGCAGATTCCTATTTTCGTATTTTTGTTATCCAATCTTAGACCCAGACCATAGAGTGGACTACACACACTAATCTGATTGGTAGTTGAAGAATTATTACTAATATACTGATTTTAAACATCATAAATGATTGGAATTTGTACTCTTCGCGGAAGTAATTTAGCAGGAAGGAACTTTTGAAAGATACAAAGAACTGCAGCCCAGTGAACAGTAGTAGGAGATGATACAAACTGACTGACAATGTGAACAGCATAGGTAAGACCAGGTCGAGTGACGGTGAGATATACTAAACTGCCAACTATAGTGCGATATAAAGTAGGATCAGCCAAAGAGACACCATTAGTAGGAGTATAGCGAACATTAATCTTGAGGGGAGTCTCAACTGTCTGAGTATCAGTGACATGAGCTCTGAGAATAATATCTGCTGCATACTTGGACAGAGATATGCAACCCAAACTGTGTTGTGAACAATGAGAAAGAGACGAAGAATGATGAATGCAATTAGGGCTTGCAATTGCTGCGAGAATCAGCAAAGAGAATCTCAATGTAGATGATCGTAGTGAAGACTCGCGATGGCTTGCTATGCAGTCGAAATTCTTTGTCCCAGGCCAGAATCGATGCAGCTCTGATACCATGTTAATATTGCGCAGAGAAGAAAAACAATCTTTTCTGTATTGCAAAATTTGTATATTACAAAAGAGTACAATAGATATGTGTAATATAATAATCCCTAAACTAATAGACTGAGGAAAGAACAATAATACCCTCAATAAAAAAATGAAGGGTTAAAATCATAAAACCCCCCTCTACTATCAACATTGTGCATAAAATTCAGTAGAATTTAAAAATACCCCTAAACTAACAAAACTTATCAAGTTACCCCCTAACCCTTGACCGACCCATTAAATGGAATGTGAAATGTCAGATTTGACCTTACTATTTAATATTAAATTAAAACCTATAATTATTATTTTAAAATTACAAAAATGGCCCTTTTTTATAATTTTATTTAATGTTAGTTGGATTGTTATCTCACTAGAGATCTATGACCCAATTTATCGCTCCCAATATTATCTTTATAATTTTAAAATAGTAATTATAGGTTTTAATTTAGTATTAAATTTGACATTTCACAACCCATTTAACGAGTCGGTCACGGGTTTGGGGGTACCTTGATATGTTTTGTTTTTATTTTTTATTTTTTATTTTTTTTTATTTAATTGTACTGGGGTTTTTATGCATGATTTTGAAAGTAGATGGGTTTTTTTTTACCATTTTATGATTTTAACCCCAAAATAAATCCTACTTTAACAACTACTACAACAGTGGTGCTTGTTGATGCTTGAAACTTGTTGATACTACAAGAATGATGTATGTTGATCTTGAAACTGTTGATACTACAACAATGATGTCTGTTGATCTTGAAACTAGTTGATACTACAACAATGGTGTGTGTTGATGTTACAACGAAAGTGATGGTATACCAACACCGTGTACATGCCTTTTCACCATATACCACTCCACAAGCCTATCCCCTCGCTACTAGTGCCACTGGTGTTTTCCCTATTCCACCAACCCATAAACTACCTCTAACCATCAACTCCTTGAGACTACATCTCTCTCAATCTCATAACTCTCAACCATAACCTAGGTACCTATAAATAGAGTTCCAAACCCAATTCCTTGTTGGACAAGGATTACAATTCCTTGGAGCCCAAAATTTGCCTAACAAGAAATTCCTAACAAAATACAACTCTAAATAGAAACATAATTAGACTAGGAATTTGAGACAAATTTCCCAACACCAATGAGTGTGTGGAGTCCAGGATCCATAGTGGGATTCCAAAGGTTTTTTTGCAAGTTGGATATTAAGAAGGTATATGACCATGTCAATTAGAGGTTTGTGGAGTATATTTTGGAAAGAATTGGATTTAGCTTGAAATAGAGGCCTTGGTGTTTCTTTTCTGCATTTCTACGGTGAAATTCTCAGCCTTGGTGAATGGGTTAGGCACTCAGTAGATTTATGAGGAGAGCGGAGGATCAGGGTTACATCAGGGGATTCATCGTGGGTCGGGGTCCTCTTTTTTGAGGGCGAGGAGGATCAGATTTGCTACCTGAAAGATGTTTTAGTTTACGTTCAAGCTGTTTCAGGCTCGAAGGTAAACATTGGGAAGAGTGACATTATGTCGGTGGGGAAGGTTGGCGAGATCGATCATTTGGCAGAGTTTTTGGAATTTGGAGTGGAGTCTGGGCTCAGTCCTGGAGGGTGGCTCCTTCAGATCCTGTGGTGGACCATTTTGAGAGGAGTTTGGTAGGTTAAAGAAACAGCACCTTTCGAAAAAGGGTCATTTGACTCTCATTAAGAGTACCCTATCGAGCCTTCCAACATACTACCTCTCTTTTTTCAGATTCCCATTTCAGTGGTGAGGCGTATTGAAAATTTACAAAGGAACTTTTTGTGGGGTGGTTGGGGCGAGGAATTCAAGTTCCATCAGCATTGTCTCACTCTTCCATTGTTGGGGAGGGTGTATGATGGGGAGCCAAGCTCAAGACGTGTGAAGTGAAGGCTGTGAAGCCCTCCTTTGCTTGTGGTGAGAGAAAAATGGAAGATCCTTTGAAGGAAAGGAGGCTCCAATTTGGCTCTTAAACGCTATTTTCTTAGTTCTTTATTTTTTTGGACTTGTGGTTGGAATTGTAAAGCTATAGAGGACATTGTGGATTTTGTGGATATGCTGAGAGTATAGTGGACCCTTTTAGGTCTTTTTGTGCTTTTGTATATGGGATGTGCCCCCTCTTGAGCATGCATCAATGAAATTTTTTTTTTGATAAGTAAAAATTATATTAAAAAAGGCGTTCAAAAGGGGAATGCGTCCCAATTACAAAAGAGGAACCGGGACTAAGGCCCAAAAGAATCCAAGAAAGAAATTAAATCATCAGAAGAAGAACAAAAACTCCTCTTCACATAATTGAAAAGAGAACTAAAAATGTAAAGTTTGACCATTGCTGTAGCCGACTCTTTCCCTTCGAACATTCTGCTATTTCTCTCCTTCCAAATGCACCATCATATACAATGTGGTACAATTCTCCAGAAATCACGAACATCTCTGCTCACTTGACATCCTCTCCAAACATGAATTAAATCTTTAGTAGATCGTGGCATAACCTAATACATGCCAAACAACCCAACAATAAGATTCCAACAGTCGTTCGCCACAGGGCAATGCAAAAGAAGGTGATCAACGGACTCCTCATCATCTTTGCATAGACAACACCGGTTAACAATACAATTACCCCTTGTTCTCAAATTATCAATTGTCAGAACCTTTCCCCACACAACGGTCCATACAAAGAAAGCCACCCTAGTTAGAGCCATAGACCGCCAAATAGTTTTCCACGGGAAGTCTCGACTAACAAAATTAGACAAACATAAGAACAAGGATATAACTTCGAAATGACCGTGGGAAGAAGGAACCCAAATCAAAACGTCATTATCTCTGCCAACGCCCTCCTGCTGATACAGAACATCCAGAAAAACACATACCTCATCCATCTCCCAATTTTGGAAAGAGCGCTGAAAATGCACATCCCACGTAATCCCGCTGCTATCAAGCCGATAACAGTCAACTACGTAAGCGTGTTTATCAACAACAATACTAAATAATCTAGGAAATGTACGAGAAAGTGGCTGATCCCCACACCAAAGATCTTCCTAAAACCGAATGCGACGACCATCACGGAGTTTGAATTTGATATGAGCAGAAAAAACATCCCATCCCTTCCGAATAGCCTTCCACATCCCTACTCCTCCCACTAGGGTAATTGGACGAGTAAACCAACCTCCAGCCTCCTCCCCAAACCGACAAGAGACTAACCTGCGCCATAGACGATGTCTTTCCCTCCCAAATCTCCATAACCATTTACTTAGGAGAGCTTGATTGAAAGGAACTAAACGTCTTATACCATGACCACATAATTTCACAGGCTTACAAACTTCCTCCCATCTGACAAGTTGGTACTTGAACTCATCGCCCTTTCCTCCCCATAGGAAATCCCTTTGAATTTTTTCAATCCTATCTGCAACGGAA